TTATATTTTATAAGTATGTCCAAGTTTAATAATGTGAAAGAAATCCACATTTCTCTGTTCATCCAGTCAGTGTTTACGCACACAGCTGGCACAATAAATTGTTAAAATAATACTGTATTTTTTTTCTTAGTGTGTAAAAAATTAACCCTTCATGTCATAGAACAGGGGTTCTCAAGTCATTTGGGTCTGGGGACCCCGTTACAAGGGCGAAAAAACAATTCCAGGGTCCCCCCTCATAAACCCCGTGCTGTTTTAAAAGATAATTTATTGTTTATTATTAATTCAACTCCTAAATGCCACAAGAATATATATTTGTATTAAGTTTATTATGTTTGTTTTATTAGTTCATTGTTCTGCATGCATTTTTAAAAAATAAAAACCAAATTAAGATTTTAGTCAAATTTTTTGAGGACTCCCAAGATACCTCTCGCGGACCCCTGGGGGTCCAGGGACCCCAGTTTGAGAAACTCTTAAAAAGACCCTTGATTCAAAAGAAATGCCAGGTTTTTGGAAAATTGCTGCTTATCAGTTAATCGTTAGTTGATTGATAAGATCAATCAACTTTAGATTAACTCATTAGTAACTTGCATTCCTACAAGAAATGGATCAAATTTTGGAAACTGGAATAATTTTAGGAAACAAAACAAGGTGGGTAAAGACTAATGCAACCCCATACCATCAGAGAGGCATGATTTCAACAGGTTTCACCTTGTGGCCTCTGTAGAAAGCGATCTCCTCAGCGTTGGCGATGATCCGGGAGTGCACGTAGCGCAGGTAGCCCTTCCTGTGCGCCTCCTCCGCCACCAGCGTCCCGAACCGGGGCGAGCACGCGCGCAGCACCTTGGCCGTGGCGAAGACCACCAGCCCCGCCAGCAGGGTGGGCCCGCTGGCGTTGGCTCCCCTGGTCCTGGCGGTCTGGATCAGCGTGTAGGAGGTCAGCACCACGTCCAGGATGGGCTTGGTCAGGTTGGAGTACAGGTGGGCCACGGACTGGGAGAACATCATCACGTCCTCGGTGAGGGACTGGTCCGGGTTGGCCAGCCTCCCGTCCATGTTGCTGACTTTGTAGTAGGTCTGGTCCGTGAAGTAGGTCCGGTAGGCATGGTTCACCAGGCGGGTCCGGAAGGCCAGAGCCAGTTTGCACTCCAGGTACCGGATGGCGCTGTTGACGAAGGTGGCAGGGATGGCGATGAGGAGCCATTTGATGAGCTGGAGGACGAAGCGCCGCGGCTTCTTCTCCACGATGGTCTTCACGATCTTCCCGTCCAAGCTGGCCACGTAGATGGACAGGAACGTCCTGGAGATCAGCGCCACGGAGTGCAGACACAGCAGGGCGAGCTCTCTGGAGACGAGCCGGGGGAACAGGATTTTACCGAGCTCCAGCATCTGCTGGAAGAAATCCGCGTTCACGCCGGGGGATGCCTTACCGCCCGCGGCATCCGCCCGGGCTACACCCGCGCAGGCTGAGCCGTTCTCCGCCTTCGAGCCCCGGCGATCACCGCGGGGAGTTTTGTTTCCGCAGAGCTGCTTCCAGAGGACGGGATACAGCGTTTTGACGCCGTAAGCGGCGGCTGCGAGGAGCACCGCTCGCTTCGCCGCAGTCGCGYGGTCCCATTTCGCCCTGGACGCCGCATCGAGGATGTTGGACATTTTTCACCCCCACGACAAACGCTAGTGGCTCCTGCTAACCCTCCTCACGACACCCATCCCCCAGAACCGACTCACCGCGTCGACATTTTACAGAAAAGACTCGCGGTGACTATGAAGATGAGCGAGTACCTCTACATTCTGCTCCTGTTCGTAATAAACACGACGTTACGGGACGTGACACACAAGCTTCCGGTTGTACTTACCAAAATAAAATGAAACGCATCGACTACYACTGAACTGTCAAGAGAATCAGGCGTCAAGTTTTAATTTCTAAAGTCAACTAGCTTCCTGTTTTGTTCTAGTTAAATCTGTTATTTTGACATTGTCCTCCTTTTTACAGAAGCTGAGCTTTTTCTCAAAGTGACGTTAGCTAAACTAAATACAACTTCCGGTTAAACTTGCAAGTGAGCCCCGTTTTACAGTGGTAATAAAAATATATTTATAAAGCTAATCCGCTTCCCGTTTGACTATAATCATATTAATTATTAATATTATTACATTGCTGTTGTATAAACGGGTTTCTATCAGTGTTAYATAAAACAAACAAAACAGAACTTCCGGTTATAGTTGTCACAATAAAAATAAAAAAACGAGCATTGCTAAATATTACAAACCCGTATTCCTATTTAAAAGCGTTCATTCATAGATATTATAATATTATATGATATACTATCATTTTTATTATAGCTATGCGTTCATTAAATTCAGTAAAAAATTACTTTTCCGGTTTTACTTGTCAAAATAAAATTAGACTATCCGCATATACCTAGGTATTAACAAAAGCAACGATTAATAAAAACAATTATGTCATTGGGTATTATTACTTTTTAACTAATTGAGCTTATTAATTAGTTTCCATTTTGTAGTTATATCAGTTGTGTTGACGTTACTTCCGGTTGTAGTTGCTAAAAATAAATCTAACTTTTTTATTGCCCAATTAGCCGCTACTGTAACTACAATAATAATAATAATAATAATAATAATAATAATAGATTAAAAATACTCTACATACAGTTTTAGCTGAAGCGCCTGACAAGTTTTACAAACCCTCGTGCATATTTGCAAACTAGCTAGCCTCGTTTACCGTAAGCGAATGACGAAAAAATACAAGTCTTTTTAAAATTTCGCTATTTAGTTGTTACACAATTATAGCACTGAAAACTTTTATTATTTCATTATTTATATAGACTGAAAAATGAACTGGGTCGGAGGTTCGAGGTAAGACAGGAATATTTGTTCTCACTAGTTATGTGGCTAAAGTTTAGCTAATTGTTCTTTGMTAATAACATTGCAGGAACCGGCTTGTGATGAAGAATGATGCTAAAAAACAGAGAGTAAGACCGCAAATATATATACAATGCATATTTATGTACCATATTTATGTTTATTGTATTTATATCCTTTTTTTAGGAGTTTTTTGAAAGAATTAAAATGCAGAGGAGGCTGGAGAAGTTGGGGGTAACTCTTCCCARCTCCTCCTCAAGTGGAGAAACCGGCTGTGGGAGCACAGACCTCCTGACCTTGTTTATTGTTAATCAAATCGCTACCAAGAAAGAAAATAAAGGTGAGRTTATCATGTAATAACATTATGAAAAGATGCATAAAAAAGAAAACAACTTGTAAACTCACCAAAAGAATGCAGGAGATTTTTTCAGGAAGGCCAAAAGCAAAGTTATAACGACTAATATGTTAAGTATCTAGGTTTAAAAGTAATACAATTAAATTGTTTTAGTTGAAAACACAGATAAATTATGTTGTGAAGGCCCATTTATCAATGAAAAATTGTCACAAACATAATGTCTACTTTTTTATTTGTAATTTTTTTTCAGATCCTCCTAAAGTGTCGGTTCTCGGCAGATTTAATAGAGGCTCCAGGGATCGCAGAAACGAACCACTCTTGCTCCCGATGAGCCCCTGTTCCCCGTCACAGCTGAGCCTGGTTGGGAGCCCGTCTCAGTGCAGGTAGAGCTGGAAAGTAGTTTGACGAACCCGCCCAGATGTTCACATCACAGTGTTGTGTTTGTTCGTTCCATCTTTTCTACTGTATCTTAGGGTTCAAGAAGTCAGAAAAAGGAAGAACGTTTTTCCACAGAAGCTCCATTGTCGACAGGTTAGTCGCTCTTACTAAGTGGGGTGAAAAATGTAACCTAACGTGAGAAATTTCTTTAAAACTGTACCGTTTTCTCCAAGTTGTCACCAGTGGTAGAGTCAGCGTTCTCAGACAACAGTGCATCTGATTACCTGCCTCCTGTAACAGACCTGTGCAGCCCCGCTTCATCAGGCTCTTCGGGACGAGGTTAACACACCCAACTCTGCATTTTCCTCCTTTTTTAAATAAAAAATGACTAATCGTGACTGCCGCCCTCAGGAATGTTCCCGTTGCAGATGAATCGGCAGAATCAAAGCCAGAGTCAGCTGCAGCTTCTTCCCTGTTATTCTCCTCCATCGTGGGACACCTCAGTGCTGCCCCAGAGTCAGGTAGTGCAAAACATTAACTAATATATAAACTTTTAGTTTTTTAACTCGCATGCTGCAGTTTTATTAGGTAAACATTAAATGATCTGAGGCGAAATGCTTTATTTGACTTTAACACAGATTTTTTTTTTTTTTTTTTGTGGTAGTTTCAGCCATTCTCTCAGCCCAGAGAAATGACGGATTCGGTGTCCTGGTCTCGCAAATCCAACCCCTTTCAACTGGAGACCCCCACAGCAGCCCAGGTCCTCTTTGGAAGTCCAGAACCAGAGTAAGAAATTATAAAAAAAAGAGATTTCAACACACATGATGAAACCACCTGAATGTTATGTAACCACTTGTAAACGTTGTGACAGAAGTGCTGAAATAAAAAATGGCGGAGCAGACGCCTTCTTTCTTCACCAACCAGAAGAGTCGTTGAACTTCCCGCTCAGCCTGCCGGAAACTGAACGTCCATTTGAGGAAGACGTCTTCAGGTTTGGTGCTGAAAAWGATGAAGCAGAAGGTGAATATTGTCCCTAACGGCGAGATAAAATAT